CGGAGACCGTACCCGGGTGCCGGACGATCGTGCCCGGGTGCCGGAGACCGTACCCGGGTGCCGGAGACCGTACCCGGGTGCCGGCGACTGTGCCCGGGTGCCGGAGACCGTACCCGGGCGTCCGTCGTAGGACCCCCGGTCAGAGCGCCTCCCGCGCGCGTCCGCGATAGCGGTCCCGCTTTGAAGGCAGCGGCGACTGTCTCAAGGACGGCAACGAGAGGATGTCATGCGACGTGACGTTATCTGCGCTCGAGATGAGCGGTCACCGATCCGGAGCCACGTCGATGGGGGCAAGGGATCACCCGCGGAGCTGTGGTACGGAAGTGAGATTAGCTGGCTCCAGCGAACCGGAGCATTTCCCCATACTCTCTGCAGCGTATTCCCGCTTAAATATCAGCCCGATGCCGGACACATCTGACCGCGCGCGCACCCTGGGTCGACCTCCATCGGAGCGGTGGCAGGTCTGTTGGTGATGGACTGGGCTGTAGGGGATCAACGGCTGGATGAGGGCTGATGCCGCCGACAGTCTCCTGCTGCTGTTACTGCTGCTGCTGTTGCTGCGGCACGTCGAGTGGCCATTCGCCGGCGATGGAAGGTGGCCTGGGTCGCGCGGTGAACTGGGCGACCTGTCATTCGGCGGAGGTGGTGGCCTGTCAGGACGGCACGCTGCGATGAGGGCGGAGCCTCGAGCTTGGCTGCACCTCATCTGGTCAGTCCGGACACGACCGGACATGCACTGCACCGCGTTGCACCGCACTGCACCGTACTGCACCGCACTGCACCACACAGGACCGCACCGTGCAAGACCATACCTGACCAGACTGAATCGAACCGAACCGAACCGAACCGAATGGAATCAAGTCGAACCGCCCCGCACCACACCAAGCCCTACACCACCGAACCACACCGCGCCACACCGAACCGCACCGTGCCGCACCATTCTGAGCCGCACTTCACCGAACCGGCAGTACGCCATACAGCGCCGGACAAAACCAAACCAGATCGGACCAGACCGGACCCAGACACAATGAGGCCAGACTGAGTCGAACGCTACCAAACCAATTTATGCTAAGCGAAATTGAATCAAACCAATCCGTCCTAGCCCGAACCAAACCAAACCAAACTGAACAAGTAAACCAACGCTAGCAAACACGAACAGGACCGAATCCAGCCGCACCAAGCCAAGTCAGACCGGGCCAGACGAGCCTCATCTCTGCGGCGGTGCAGGGCGCAGCTCGTGGGACAGGAAGCGGTCAGTCGGCTCTGGCGGCTCCTCTGACCGCTGCCGGTCGCAGATAGCAGCCAACGCGGTCCCAACTACCCCTCTCCGGCACTGAGACTCTGACTGCCGTCAGTCCTGGGTACCGCGAGCCCCCTGCTCGTGACTTGCCCGCCGCGAGTTATCTGTGGTCGTTACTCCACCGCACAGAGTCACATGTGTGTGTTCTCATGACTCGGCCGCTGCGAGTCATCTGCGCTAATAACGCGACCGCCGCGAGTCGTCTGCGATCATGACTCCGCTGCGGCAAGCCTCCTGTGTTCATGGCTGGGTTACGGCAAGCACACGGTGCCCATGACTCGACCGCCGCGAGTCGCCTGCGCTCGTGACTCAGCCGCCGCGAGTCATCTGCGCTCATGACTCGGCCGCGGCAAGCCCTCTATGTTCATGACTGGGCGTCCGCGGGGCGCCATCAGCGACCCGCGATGGGCGTCGACACGCGACTGGAGAGGGCGCGCCGCCGCCTCTAGGAGCGGTGCGTGGGCGGGGTCAGGGCGTCGACACGC